GTGATGTTCAACCTCGACCACCGTACTCGGATTCTGTTCGACCAGGGCGACTGATTCAGTTTATTCGACCGGCTCACTGGACCGGTTTACTCCTTGAGTTTCAGTATCCCATATCAGCGGCCTAGGACCATCTCAAGCCCAACACGTCCAGATCGAGCCCAAAACTGCCAGCAGTGAGTCCAGCAGTGCACCTAGGTCCAGCCAAGCAGCCCAGCAGCCCGACGCGCACCGGTGAGTCCACGACGAGCCCGAGGCGGTTCAATTTAGTCACAGGCAGTCTAGGACGGTTCGACGCGAGGGACCAACAACCAGAGACGTGAGACCCGAGACGTGGTCGAGGTCTAGTGATGATGAGCTTTCAGACGATCTGCATTAATGGAAGTAAAAAAACATCACAGAGTCGAAAAAATTTTAAAAACTGTAAGTCTTAATCCTAACTATTCCGCTGCGTTGGGATTTAATTGGTTAGATCGAAGGTGCATATCAACACGTTCCTAATAGATCCCAACAAGAGTCTCAGTCTAGGTAGTTACAGTCTTGTCTAGTCGTTGGTTAGCTCGAGGTTTCTTCTTCTAGGAAGGAAGTACGACTAGCCAGGTGCGGGCAAAGTAACAAAGAGTATGGAGAGGTCGAACGAAAAAAATATTAAGAGGTAACACTAGATTTGAGGTCTTGAAGGAAATTAGCTTCGTTTCAAGCTACGAAGTGATGGGTCCCCTTTTAAAATTTTATTCTATAACAATAAAATAATAGCTTGGATGAAAACTCACGTAGCTTTATCTTGGAGGATATTAAAAAAGAAAGTATTAGACGGATTGAGTTAGGGGAGAAGTGGTTAATGGAGGACATTATAGAAAGAGCTAAGGGTAAGTAGCTTGGGCTGGATGTGGGAAACTAAGACCATGAAACACTTGGCATACTAAAAATGTAAAGTAGTATTTGGGAGGATCGAGGGTACATTTCTCGAGGTGATGCTTCAAACTCAAAAATGTCCTTTCGTGTCTATTGCGTCTGACACTTCAAAAAATGTTTTCATGTAACACCGATTGACCCTATGTGTGTGTGGAGGGGGGAGGGGGGAGGTGGCGGGGCGACGGAGAGACGAGATGATATTGCCCCAGCTCGGCTGAACCGAGATTATCACCTCAGACTGAAACAGTTCGATCGGTTCAAAGGTAAGCCATGGTCGCCTAAACAAAATTGAGCAAATCGACTAAGCCGTAAGTCGGAACCAGAATAACTAGAATCGGCCTGGAGCAGGTAAAGTAAACGGACATGATGACAACTGGCTATGTCACTCACCTCATCATAATTACGATCAACCTGTTGGACTTGGACGATGGCGAGACAAGTTAGAGTATGTTTGATCTAAGTATTTGAGACCTATTAACACTCAGTATGACCTGGGTAAGAGGGAACTTGTTAACAATGGGATATGAGCAACGGTGTACACAATTAGTATAAAGATGGATATAATTAAGATAAGGATTAACACAAAGCAGATAAAGATTAACCTTGGACAGTCGATCAACTCAGGACAAATTAATCTAGGGCAGTCGGGTGGCCCGGACAGTATAAGGTCTTGGGCACCAAGCTACTCTCCCTATATAAAGGGTATGAGATACAACTGAAATGTCTTGTTGCTCATTGAATTATTTAAATACACTTATCATCTTCTCACCCTTTAATATCACTGACTTCGGAAACTCTTTTCGACCTTAGTTTGTAGATTATCAACAATACTCGAATAGTCAGAAGTTTTCAGTCGTCGGTTCAAGCCGATCCAAATTCTCGCATATCAAAGTTAATACTACCTTACATCAAAATAATTAAAAATGATTTGTAATACTGAAAAAAGATAGAGAAAGTGAGGTCGATCTTATCCACATGATTGTTCATGTAGTCAGGTATGTATAATATGCTATCAGTTTAATCTCACCTTATATATTTATTATGATTTTTGAGTTTTTAGCTTTTCATGAAATGTTCAAATCAGTGAAGCTCACTTTACCCTATTAAAGGGTTTATTGCACCAAATCCCCCTGTATTATATGAAATCTGCGCGTTTTCCCCTGGTATTTCAAAAATTGCGTCAAACCCTCCTGTATTTAATGTTTCAATGCACACTCGCCCTTGTAAGTTAACGGCGTGACTTTTAATGCTGATGGTGTTACTTTTTGCTGAAATTACTATTATACCTTTACTTTATCCTTGAATTTACTATTATACCCTTATTGTCATATATGGTGACTTAAAAATAAAATTCCAAAGGTGGGGATTGAACCCACTACCTTTGGGTTATAAAAAGCCACCTTCACCAACTGGGCTACTTGGTGTTTTCTTTTTAATGTGACTTTGTTTATTTATATCATAACATATAGTGGAACTAATATAATAATTAAGTATATGGATTCTAATTTATAAATAATATAATAATTAAGTATATGGATTCTAATTTATAAATAATATAATAATTAAGTATATGGATTCTAATTTATAAATAATATAACATTTAAGAATATAGATTCTAAATTAGTATATATATTATAAATTATAAATAATCTAATAATTAAATATTTAGATATAAATAATATTATAATTAAATATTTTTAGTTATAAATAATATAATAATTAAGTAAAAAGATTTTAAATTACAAATAATATAATAACTAATATAATAATTTGGTATATAGATTCTGTATATAAATAATGTAATGGTTAAATAAACATACTCACGAAAATCCTAGGAACTTATGGGAGTTAGTTGTTCATCTTGAGACCGAGAGGAGATAGATAACAATTAATATCTACGATTTGACTTGTTCGAGAGAAAGGTTTGAAATCAATTTAGCGATTATCTCTACGATTGGTAAAATTAAATAAGGTTTGTTTGAATATAAACGTTTCATGAATTAATTCCGAGGAACGCTTAGCCTAGAATCTACCTTTTGTTTCTTTATTTATTTTTATTTATTTAGATAAATTAGTTTTTAGTTTAATTCTTAGTTTATATTCATCATTCAATTCACTAGTCTAAATAATATTTAATCGTCGTTATTTTAGTACTTAATTAATTTAACTACAATCTCTGTGGAATACGACCTTGCTCGCCACTACCTATAGCTACGCCGTACACTTGCGGATAGCGAAAATAATTAGCGAACATTTATATATTTTTTAAATATGTAAGAAAATATAAAAACTAAATAAGTGAAATAAAAACAAATCATATATTATATATAGAAGTATCATTTTATTTTATAATAAATAAATTTAATTTAATTTAATTTATTAATTTATTATAATTAATTTTATTTTATTTTGTTTATATATATTATGTTACTTCATTAATAAAAATATTTATATTTATATTTATTTTTTTATTTTATTTAAACGTATATTATCATTAATTTTTATATTAAATAGTAATATATTCATTTATTATTTTCAAACTTCATATTTAATTTAATATTTTATTATCTTATTTCAATTAAATTTTATTATAATGATTTAGTTTGTGATTATATTATTTTTTATTTTTGTTTGATTAAGTTTTTCTGTTGTTCCTGTTGCTTTAAATAAATGTGTGTTAATTTTGTACAATATAATGATGGTGGCATAGTGGTTGAAAGCTTGGCTAGTGATGTTTTGACCCAAGTTCGAATCCTATGAGGAGCAACCAAGCATCAATTTTTGCCCAACATGCAAGGGGCAAAATAGTAAATTTCAATTTTAAAATAAAAAATATATGAAAAAATTGAATAATTGTCGCATTATATGAGTGTGTGCTGCACGCGCTGTGAAGTTGGACGGAGAGGGGGAATTCGTGCAAAAGTTAGTTAATACGAGAGGGTCTGACGCAATTTTTAAAATACCAAGGGAAAACGCGCGGATTTCATATAATACAGGGGGATTTGGTGCAATAAACCCCCTATTAAAGGCATACATCACATCACGTGATGATCTCATTTTGCAATAAAAGGCAGGCCAAATATTTTTGCTTTCATCAATTGCTTTAACTAAAAATAATGCAGACGTACCAAATAGCATAATAAACAATTTCTCCCCGACAGACTGTTTCGTGAGATGTTTTTTCATATGTAGTTGCTTTCTTGTTAATGAAGTATAAAGTTACTTCAAGTTCAAATCTTAATCTTTTAAGGTGCCGGTTAAAAAAAAAATGTATGCAAAGCAGCATTTGAGCTCCAATTTTAAAAGGCAATCGACTATTAATAATTATTGGAAAAGAGTGAAACATCTGGCCAGTAAAATGATTTTTATATTTATTCCGACCAGATGCATTAATGTGAGATACCATTATCACCTCCTCAAGATACAGAATTTTCCAATCTCAAGAATTAAGGTGATGATTATTTATAAATTGTTTTACTCACTTTTATTTCATACTCAAAATCTAATTCAATTTTAATTTAACCACATTATCTCTAATATTATTCATATAATTACATAATACAAACCAATCTCTTATACATCACATCAACTTTAATTCACTATTTATCAACTCACATAATTTTAACTACCTATCATTTCTAATTATTTATAATCATTTATCTCCTATTTTTAGATCAAATCAATTTTAATCTGTTTTAAATATTGTTTTAATACATTTTTAAAATTCTACTAATAACTAACATACTACATTTTTCAAAACTAACTATAATTATCAAAATAATTCATTTTGAACAAATTATTTCATAAAGACATAACTTGTGCTTTTGACCAAGGTTTTATAACCAAAATAAGGAAATATATTTTACCAAGGTTTTATATGAAATAGTTGTTACCTTATCTCATCGTAACTTGTGCTTTTGACCTTTCAACTTGACCATAAAAATAAATAAATAAATAAATAATAACTTTGGACTTGACCATCAGCTTGAATATCACCAGATCATCCATAGGCTATGGTACGATTTCCAACATTCTCATGAATTTAAAACAAATAAGTACACATACATATGAAAAATAAATAAATAAAATCACTGAAAACCAATCGAGTCAATAATCCCCAAAACCACCTCACAAATTCCCTTCAACCCTTCCTCCCTAACCGCGAGCTCGTGTGGGTACACCAGCCCCGGGTACCGCTTGAACCCATTTCGACAGGAATTGGGATAATCGGCCGCAGCCATGACGTGTAGGTAGGCATAATCGTACAAGTCATCAAGCAAGTCCTGAATCGAGCTCTGGAGCGCCTCCCCTGCCAGCGCGTACTTGTCCGCGCACTCCTTCACCAGCACCGTCTCGTTTTTGGCGGACAAGAGGTATTTGCTCGTGGCAGTCGCGTTAGCCACTCCCAGACGGGCCATTATGAGCGCCAAGCCCTTGGTGTCGGCTTTCGTGCTGGAGGAGTCGGATTTCAAGGAGGAAACACAGAGGTCGTAGTGTATGGTGTTCTTGCACGTCTGCTGGATCAATTCGCTCGGTTTCGATGCTGATGATGAAATTGAGGAGAAGATGGCCAGAATGCTTAAGAGCATCAGCAGAAAACGGAAAGAGGATGCCATTATCTTTGGGTAAGTGTATGGCTCAATTGCGATTTGTGACTAATGGTTGGGAACAAAGTACTCGTATAAAAAGACTGGTTTGGTTTGAGTAAATAGTAAGAATTTTTGCCTTGTTGGACAACATGACATAAGTTAAAAGGTGAAAAATCTTTTTATATTAAAATATATACCAACATGTTTTATATTGTCAATTTAAAATTCTTCATAACAAATTCCAATCGTATAAAATATTTAGCAGGAAGGTGATATTTGTTGAATGCCATTGGAATTTGGGAAAAGATTAAGAAGAAAAAAAAAACAGGTCACGGGAAAATCAACTTCATATGAGAAATGGACCCTCCTGCACTGTTTTTTTGTCAATAATGTAATGGAAAAAACAGAGATCCATAATTTCCTTAGATGTCTTACTACACAGGTACAGCGGATGTTTAAATTATTGGATTCTCTAGTTCTTGGATGTTTTTGGAATAATAAATTTTATCAAATATATATTTTAGCAACTTGGGCCATCCGTATTCTCTTTATCCCATCGTATATTTTAGCAACTTGGGCCATCCGTGTTATCTTTATCCCATCGTATATTTTAGCAACTTGGGCCATCCGTGTTATCTTTATCCCATCTTTATCCTTCATATTCTGGCTTTCCAATCCATCCCCTCAAAATTATTATACAGACAAATTTGAAACGGTTATGAATACTAAGAAAATAAAGAACACAATTATATAAATTGGAGACAAATTTTTACTAAAGTTTCTCTCCTTTATTTCTTTATCTTCTTTCTTTCTTTCTTGTATTTCTATATGTACATGCTCAATGAATTGAGCCATATTTATAGGTAAAATTTTGCCACATTTCTTTGACATTTTTACACAATGTACTATTCACAGTCTAATTTGTACAATAGTCTACTATTTACAACATAGTCTAATTTGTACAAATTACTATTTGTTAGTCCATTATTTACAACACTCCCCCTTGGACTAACAATTATAAAATGTACATTAGTCATTCAGCATGTCAGGAAAATTCGGTGGGACAAAACCTGAGCATTGTTGAAGCATAATATTTCTCCCCCTCAAATTGATCATCTTTAGTAAAGTATCCACGTGCTGCCTCGTTAGAACCTTGTGAAGAAAACCCAGTGGGAAAAACTTGATTGAAGGAAAAAGAGTACAGCTACTCCAGTGTCTTCTAGTCATCATGAAGAATAATATCTTGTGGCCATCAGGTACTGATGCTTCAGTATTGTTCTCATTTCTTCAAATAGTGATACATTCCACCCCTTAGAATTACCACTATTAAATGTGTGTTTATACTGTCTCGTTAAAAACCTTATTTGGAAAAACCATATGGGAAAAAATCGAGATAAGGAAAAAAGAGTACAGCTGCACATGCTCCCCTTAGAGTAATCATTTGTGCAAATCTCGAAGATATCTCATCCCGATGTTATGGACGTGCTTTCGGAATGGTGCAGTTAGGAGTGCCTTCGTAAATAAATCAACTGCATTATCACATGATCGGATGTATTGAATCTTGATCTGTTTGTTCCTTTCAAGCTCTTGAGTGTACGAGAAGAACTTTGGTGGGATATGTTTAGTTCTGTCACTCTTAATGTATCCTTCTTTGGTTTGAGCGACACATGCTGCATTGTCTTCAAATATCACTGTCGGATCTTTATTATTCGATAATCCACTGGCTTGTTGAATATGTTGAGTCATGTTTCTGAGCCAGATGCTTTCCCTAGTTGCTTCATGAAGTGCAATGATTTCAGCATGATTTGAAGATGTAGCAATCAATGTTTGTTTCTGAGAACTCCAAGAAAATGCAATTCCACCAATCCTGAATACGTAGCCAGTTTGAGATCTCGCCTTATGTGGGTCTGATAAATATCCTGCATCTGCAAAACTAATCATTTCATGTTTTTTATCATTTGAGTAAAATAATCTCAAATCGGTTGTTCCTTGGAGATAACGGAATATATGCTTGATTCCATTCCAGTGTCTCCTCATAGGTGACGAGTTATATCTTGCTAACAAGTTGGTAGCAAAATATATATCTGGTCTAGTGCAATTAGCAAGATACATAAGAGCTCCTATTGCACTCATATATGGTAACTCAGGACCAAGTATTTCTTTATTTTCTTCACAAGGTCGAAATGGATCATTTTCAACATCCAATGTTCGATTAACCATCAGAGTACTAAGGGAATTAGCTTTGTCCATATTGAATCGTTTCAGTACTCTTTTAGTATAGTTGGATTGATGGACAAATATCATATTTTGTACCCTCTCTATCTGTAAACCTAGGCAATATTTGGTTTTTCCGAGATCTTTCATTTCAAATTCGCCTTTCAGAAAAATGACTGCTTCTCGAATTTCATTTGCTGTCCCAATAATATTAAGATCATCAACATAGACAGCAATTATCACAACTCCATCATGTGATTTCTTTATAAAGACACACGGACATATTTGATCACTTAAGTATCCCCTTTTGAGTAATTGTTCACTCAAACAATTATACCACATACGCCCGGATTGTTTCAAGCCATATAATGACCTTTGTAGCTTTATCGCACATAACTCTTTAGGTTTAGAGTTTAGTGTTTTGGGCATTACGATTCCTTCAGAAACTTTCATGTAAATGTCTGTGTCTAATGATCCATACAAGTAAGTACTCACAACATCCATGAGACGCATCTCAAGATTTTCATGGATAGCTAAACTGATTAAGTATCTGAAAGTAATTGCATCCATTACAGGGGAATATGTTTCATCATAATCAATCCCAGGTCTTTGGGAGAATCCTGTGCTACAAGGCGAGCTTTATATCTCGTGATCTCATTTTTCTCATTTCTTTTTCTGATGAAAACCCATCTGTATCCAATAGGTTTTATGCCTTTTGGTGTAATGGAAATAGGCCCAAAAACTTTTCGTTTATTGAGTGAATCTAACTCAGCTTGGATGGCGCCTTTCCACTTATCCCAATCATGTCTTTTCCGACATTCAATTACAGATTTTAGTTCAGGATCCTCAACTTCATTATTAATTTCTTTCTATACCATATATGCAAATGCTTTCAAATATTTTCATTATTCACATAATTAATGGAAATTTCAATATTTTCATTTCTTTCCGAAATTTTTTCATCATCTTGATTCTTTTTCAAATTCGAGTCTTGAATTTCTCCTTTCTTTCGAGGATTCTTATCTTTAGACCGAATTGGTCTTCCTCGTTTCAAACGTGTCTTTGACTCATTTGGCATATTATCATTTGGCATTTCTTTTGGAATCTCAATTCGAGCAGGGGCATTTACAGCTGCCACATGTGATTTGGTCACCCTTTTTAAAACAGTAAATGCATCTGATAATTGATTTGCAATATTCTGCAGATATATGATCTTTTGAACTTCTTGCTCTCTCTGTTTAGTGGGAGGTTCAAGATATGATAGTGATGATGTTCTCCATTTAATATTTCTCTCAATTGATTTTTCATTCCCACCTAATTGGGGAAATAATTCTTCATTAAAATGGCAATCATCAAACCGAGCTGTAAAAACATCACCTATTTTAGCTCAAGGTATTTGATTATTGATGGAGATTCATATCCAACATATATTCCCAACCTTCTTTGAGGCCCCATTTTGTACGTTGGGGTGAAGCAATTGGTATATACACTGGTATATTAATTAATTAATATATTACTACCTTTCTGACCGGGTAGAGCGTTCGTGCTGATAACGTGTTATGAATACTAAGAAAATAAAGAACACAATTATATAAATAGGAGACAAATTTTTACTAAATTTTCTCTCCTTTATTTCTTTATCTTCTTTCTTTCTTTCTTGTATTTCTATATGTCCATGCTCAATGAATTAAGCCATATTTATAGGAAAAATTTTGCGACATTTCTTTGACATTTTTACACAATGTACTATTCATAATCTAATTTGTACAATAGTCTATTATTTACAACATAGTCTAATTTGTACAAATGACTATTTGTTAGTCCATTATTTACAACAGAAACAACAAAAAAAGAATTGAAAAATCATGAACACCTCATGTCCTGTTGATTAATGTATTTATTTATTTATGTAAATATTTTTTGTTTATTATCTCTCTATATTAACTAGTATGTAACCCGTGCGATACACGATGATGGAGATGAGACCGCGATGGCATTCTTGGACAAATATGACCGGCTTCGTATTTAGCATATTTATTTCCTAGTATCTTGTTATTTATTGAGACTTTTATTATTTTCATCATAATTGTTTAGTATTGGTAATTAAATAAGCCTATCTAATTAGCTAATTTGAGTAGGAATATGAGAGTTTTATATATCGCCATCATCTATTCGAGAGAGGCAGATTATTTTGAACAAGTTATTGAAATTGAACGAGAGTTTATCTCTTTTCTCCCTTTTTGTCTACCACGCTCTACATCAGTTGGTACCAGCATACCGGGACGATTCAAGATGTCGCCAAAACGAAACGACAACGAACGACGGGATGCCCATCTTGAAGATTTGGATCGTCGAACCGATGATCTAGGGTTCCAAATCGATTGAGTGGATCGTCGTGTTGAAGGTCTTTCTGAGAGGATCGAAGAAGTTTGTCTCGCCATCAGTACCTTAATTCAAGACGAGCAGATGAACCGCGACACCACAGGCCGTGGTGGTCGCGGCGGGTTTCGCGGAGGCCGTGGCGGGAGAGGGTCGGTCGGCCAACACCGACCGCGTTCGCCACGATCGACGCACGGCCTGGACGACGGTAAGGATACCCTATCGAACGGCAACCCCTTCGGCGTCCGACGGGACCATCGGGAAGGCGACCATGGCGAGCAGCGTGCGGAATTCTGAGATGACGAAGGCTGGGACGAACATGGCGGAAATCGTCGCGCCGGCGAAGGCAGCGACAACCGCTAGGAGACGAGATTCCAGGTGGAGGTGCCGGAGTTTTCGGGTGGGCT